GACTAATTTGCATATTCATGGTTCCTCGTACACTAAATGAGGTAGTTAAAAAAATTAGTGACTGCAGGGGGACTTTAAAACTGAAACTCTTGAAAAATGTTTTCGCTAATTGAACAAAAAAGCTGTAAAAAAAATATAAAATGTTCAATGAAAAAATCTACTTTTAAATGAAAAATATAAAATGATAATTAGAAATGTTGCTTTGGCAACTAACTGAAATAAGTCATTTTAAGTTGAAATACTAAAACTGAAATAAAAATAAATTTGAGCCAAATTGTCAAAAAATGACAAAAGCACATAGCAAAATTACTAAAAATGAAACTGTTAAAAACAGTTTAATATCACAATAAAAACTAATTCAAAATATACAAATAAATAATAGTGTATAAATACTACTAAAATAACACTGCATCATATTTAGCAAGCTAAAGAGTACTATTTAAATAATGTAGTATTAATACATTTGCATTACTTATTGTTTAGTATCCTTCAGTGCATAACTAAATATCCAGATCATATCTCATTGCCATTCAGAACAATATTACCATGTATTATCTTAACTGATTGAATGTTTGTGTGTGTTCAAGCATCCCTGAGCAAGCGGTGGGCTGTTACTGCTGTCTGCTGGAGCAGGAGAAATCTCCAGAACAGCCTGAGGCCGACGGCAACGGCTGGGTGGTGTGTCTTCTCGGAGGATCAGAGAAGGGCCTAAATCTATATCCTTAAACCACAAATGACTGACAATTAAACTGTAGGAAAAACAGCATTGTGCACTAAAGAATGAAGTGCTATCAAATTGTATCTTTGTATTCAAACATGTTGCTCTCTTAGTAGAATATTGAATACGTTTTCTTTAACCCTGCAAACATTTAGAATTGAGCTGGACAAGTACGTCCAGGGTCTGCAGGGATGTTTGACTCCAGAGGTGAGGACAGTTTTTGCCACTGACTGTGGGAATAATGTTTAAATCTGTCCAGTTTTTTAAGTTATATCTGTTAGCACACAGCTTTTTATGTCCATTTGCTGTAAATATTGTTGGCAACTTCTGGCAACAGATGCAGAATTTGGAGACAGAAGCCAGGCCCTACCTGAACCGCTGGTATGAAGAGTCCGTTATGCACATTCACAAAGTGGTTCAGCTGTTGCAGGCGAACGTCGGTTACCTTCTGCATGCAGTAAGAAACCACTGCTGTCTAGATCAGATACATTTTATAAAGTCATAATTGAAAGCAGTAATATACTGTATTATATGAAATGGTAAATGAACATAACTACTTCTCTGCTGCAGGCTTTGAGTCACAAGCTTTTCGAGGTCACAGGGGCAGATGAGAAGACAAAAGCAGATATAGCAAGGTAAGCGAAACAACTTTATCTTAATAGCGGCTACATTTTTACAGTTTTAAAAACTGATAGCCATTACAACTTGATTGTCTTGTTAGATTTATCAAAGCAGCAAGCCTACAGGGTCTAGTTCAGGAAGACACCCTCTGTAAGGCCATTTCAGAGGACTCTCACAGCATTCTGATCATCGACTGCTCAACCAGCCCACCTACACTCACCAATAAAGGTCAGCAGCAGCAGCATCACCTCACTAAATGTACAGACTTTCTCCTTTCATAAATGCCTTATTTTGATAATGTTGTGTTATCTCTGCAGTCAGTAACCGATTCTGCGATGACTGGATCCAGGCCTTCCTCAATGCTGCTGAACGCTTTAACCCTTTCCTTCTCCGCCAAATCCTGGAGAATTTTAAACTTAAGGTTAATTTGCTTCTGATTGAGTATAACAGTAACCTGGTATCCAGACCATACATTTAACCGGTGTATGGCATTCACTGATTTTTGTTGCTTGCTCATTTTACGTATATATATAATTGTAAATATTTATATGTAAATTGTACATTTTATAAAAATTGTTTTATAAAAGAAGTTTACTTGTACATCTTTTTTTTTTTGCCTAATATTAACATGACATTTCTGAAAAAGTTATGTTTACCATGCTAATCTACTATTGGTATCTTAACAGTTAAAGGGATAGTTTACATGAAAATTTGTTCCAAACCTGTATGAATTTCTTTCTTTTGCAGAAAATATTTTCAAGAATGTTGATAACCAAACCGTTTTGGTTCCCATTGACTTTTTTTCGGTTCGTTTTTTTTTGGGTCCATGCAATGGAAGTCAGTGGGAACAGAAATTGTTATTTACCAACATTCTTCAAAATATATTTTGTGTTCCACAGAAGGAAAAAATAATATTTTTGAGCGTTACTGGTAACTGCTGTCTGGTTTCCAGATCTCGCATTTTACACTTGTATCCAAATCTAGTATGTTGTAAACATCTGCTCACAGTGTAAAAAATGAATTATTAACTTTTAAAAGTATTATATTAAAAACTATTAACTTAAATTTAAAAAGTATTCACTAGTATTATTAAATGAACAAAAAATATTTTCTGTATAGTACCCAACCTGATTTCAGAAATGCCAATTCGTCATTTTTACTATCTTCAACATGCACATTGTTTCTCCATGCAGGCCATTCAGGACATGAACAACCTGAAGCGCTTCATCCGTCAGGCAGAAATGAGCCACTACGCTCTGTTCCGCTGCTGTCTGTTCCTGCAGAGCTGTGGAAACGGGGACGTGCTGCTGCAGAACGCACGGGCCGAGCACAGCAGCCTTCCTGAGGCCTGTGGAATCATAAAAGTGCTGGAGGAGTTCCTCGGGGAGCATGCGCAGGGCACACTCTACTGACACCACAGTGATTCATAAAGTCACCTATCTGAGAGCACCTTGGAAGCAGCTGCCCAGAACTCCAATTTAATACCCATAATCATAGCAGTGTGGTTTGATTTTAAGCAACTTCAACAAACTTGAATTGAAAACACTAAGTGTATATTTGTGTGTGTGTAGAGGTTCAACAGCAAAGGTTGAAAAAGATTGTTTGTGATGTGCTGCTGTAAGTTGATTTGGGTGCTTAAAAATTCTAACCTAAATAGATCCTATAAAATGGAGCAATGAAAAATGCATGTGTGATCAAACTTTATTTAAAAAACTTTTCTCAATAATGTGTATATATTAACACAATACTGTTTATATGTGACAACTGATTCTAGGATGTAATCTATTGTGTAGCAGTCATTGTTTTGAAGATGTGATTTTTAAAACAGACAGTCCTGTACATTTATTGAAGTAGCAAACTGAATTAGGAAGCTAGTCACATAATCATGAAACTCTGCGCAAGCCAGTATCTTATTAACAGTCTACTATGACCTATTGTACTATGACCTGCATGGCCCATTTTATCGTGTGTTTTTTTTTTGTGATAAAGTGCTTAATTGGATAATATTCTATTCTTTTAGTCTTAATTGTTATAATAATAATTTCTTTGATTTATGTTCTTGTTTACTATTTCAGAATGTTTCTTACCAAAAACAAAACCTCTGATAATCATAAAACTGGATGTAAATGTAACGGTTAAAAATAACAGAATTGTGAGAAAAATATCACTTAAACATGTATACATACTGATCCAGTTGTAAATGGTGATCATGTGTATAATTATCATGATTTATGGTTTGACATGACTGTACTGTCAATAATTTGTTCCAGGAACATTTTATTTGTGTGAATTTATAAGAATTAAAGAAATGTTCAACACAGTGCATTGACTCGCTGTTAATGAACCTAACCTTGATTCTTGAATTCATGCAAGAATTAAAATAACACATTGTAAATTAGCACAGGCAAAGTTGTAGTTTATATTCTGTTTTAATTAATCCACTTTAAGCATCTCATGTGAGATTAAATAAACCGGGAAAACAATTTTGAAAAATTGACCCTTATGACTGGTTTTGTGGTCCAGGGTGACATATATCTTGTACTTATATTAAATTAGTTATATGTACCTATAAAGTAAAAAGTCTTGAAAAAATATATGATTGAACATTCCAAGGTTAAATAAAATGCCATTATAATCCATTTGCTGTATACACAACCATCACTGCAATGTCTGATTCTAAATAAAGGTTTTTAACATTCAAAACAGTTTTATGAGGCACTAATGCAGTAAACATTAATATACAAATTAAAAACAAATCCAGATGCATATTATTCTATACACATAATTTATATCATGCAGCTCGCTTATAATGACACTTTATTTTCATTTGATATGTTTGAATATATTTTATAAACTCATCTTTTGGGAAATTCTCAATTGCATTTGTTTCACTCTGCCACCTTAATGTCAAAAGCTACCACTCCATGAAGAGAAAATCCAAGGTAGAAAGTCACATTCTCATTTGAATTTGGCAAGGAGGCAGAAAAAAGTGGAATGACTCTGATATTGCTTTGATCAGACACCCAAACAAACATATTTCCATTTTTAGTGTATCCAGTAACTCGTTTAAGCACTTTTACAACGTTTGGGTTTGTCCACACTCCACCACCTTGCCACTTGAGGCGTCTCTCACTGAGGGTTCCCTTGCAGAATTTTTCAATTGTGGTCTTGTGCACAATTTTATTGAGACCCCTTGTTTTTCCAAGGAAGAAGTGGGTAAAAATTCTACCTTTTCTCGAGGCAGCAGATTTAATCTCCGAATATCTGTGAAGTGCTTTTATGGCATTCGTGACAACATCACTTCTTGTATTGGAGTGCTCTTTGCCCATAGAGTCCTCTGGCCTAAATAAGAGTGAAAGGGGCAGGTATGCAGTATCTGGTAAGGCAGTTCACTTTTCAGTGCAAAACGGCCTGCTGAGATTTTGAAGTTCTTCAATAGAAAGAAGTTTTCCAGAGCCAGGTGAAGCACAGGAGAGTGCTAATTGACAGAAGATAACGTTTTTGAGCTCTGTCTGGTTGAGATCCTTTTGCAGGTCAGCTGGAAAAAGGCTGCTTATTTCCTCAAGCTTTGCTGCAGCTCTTTGTTTATTGTTATTGGAGAGAAGGTAAAGGACTGTTGTAACGTTACCACCTCCAAGTTGGAAAATTTTCATTTGTCTCATTAATGGGGAAACTGTGTTTGCATCAGAAGCCTCATCCTCTTGAATGATGTGAAAAAATAACTTGGCATACACAGCACTTTTCCTGAGGAGCCATCTTCTTGGATTATTGACCGTTTCAACTCCTCCTCTTCCTCAGAAATGAAATTCTGAAAGCGAGCAAGCTCATCAGAAATACTTTTCTGGGCAGTTCTAATGCCGTTTATAATTCCTTTTAAAAGGCCATGAAATTTTTGCCAAGGTTTCTGTACTTCCTTTGGTATGTAGTCAGTGAGCAGGTATTCCATCAACTCCCTATTTCCCTCTTTAGTAGAAAAAATGTCTACATTTGACAGGAGCTCAAGCAATCGGCATCCAATATCAACTTCTCCAAAATAAGAATTATTCAAGCAGACCATCTGTAACTGGGGACATTTTTCAGATTCTCTAAAAGTTGTGATTCCTTTAAGAGCAGTATCAATGATAATGATGTCCTCTTGTTGAATTTCAATGTTTTTCTCACATATGGCATCATGTTTGCTGTAGAACAACTTTTTGAATACTTGTCCCAGTGTGTCAAGTATGTATGTGTGCTGTGGAAGACGAGACTTAGCTCTTTTAGCCCAAATCTCGGCTTCCTCAAAATGTTTGTTTTCATAAAGCAGTCGTGCAAGCTGTTGAGCAACAAATGCATCCTCATCAAACCGGGTGTAAGCTACCTTCAAAAGGTCAATGGCTTTCTCCACATCTTCTGCCTCCCTAACGTGCTCTATTAAAGGAGAAAACCAGCTGTCATTTGGATCTCCCTTGCTTTTTTTGGTGCATTTGATAAACAGATCTCTGACAAACTTTTGAAACTCATTGCTTCCAAATCTGTGGTCAAACAGCACTTTGTTCTGAAGCAGACTCATTGCTATTTCACTTTTGCTCTGGTAACTGGAGAGCTGCTTCAGGATCTCCTTAGCTATCAAATTATGAATTATTCTGACAGAGATGTTTGTCTCATTAGATTTTAGCTGTATGAAGAAATACCTAGCGTGCTCACTTAAGGACTTTTCAAATATTTGGTGTCGAACTTCATCAATCCATGTGGATGTTGACGGTTTGGCAGTTTTATCAAATTTGTCCAAGTGGATTCGTAAACCTAGGAATGCCTCACAGTGGGAAACAGACAGGTATGAATTCTCAATGTGGCTGTTCAGTAGTGCCACAAATTTGATCAACTGTGTCTGAAGAGATGAATGGTCAATTGCACAAAAGTGAGTATAAACTCTGGTTCAAACTTCAACTTGAGACTCTCTGCTTTCTTTGAGAAGAGCTTCTTTTCTGCTGGCGATAGTTTGTGTGAAACCGTGACTGTGCATAACGGCAGTGCTTTGCACATCCTTTCAGGATCAAGAGACCTTTTACAACAGAGAATGATGAAACAGTTTTGAAGGACTTATTTTCATTGTTGTGACTGCATTGCTTAATTGTCGTTTGAGGTCATCCTGATAGTCTGCATTGCAATCCTCTAGCATTAAAAGCACAGGTTAACAGGCATTCTTGTCAACTTCTTGAACATTCTCCGTACCGTACGATCACGTTGCTTTCACAACTTATTTTTGCATCTGTCCTGTGTGCGGCATCTTTCTTCTGCGTGGTCGCGACGAATGAATTGCGCGGCCGCACACGCGCGCAGCTAAGAGGGAATATTATTGACAAGTGTACATGTAACCCCTCTCTCCCGGGTCCTCACCGCCACACCTTGTTCTCGTTCCGAGTGGGTCTCGAACCCAGGTCTCCGGCATGGGAGGCAGACGCACTAACAAGGAGGCTAAAGACAGCAGTCACTAGTGTCAGTCGCTTGTGCGTCTCTTGAGAGAGGTTTACCTGCAGAGCACCTACTCTCTGGCCTCCGTTACACTCACCCCCCTAAACCTCACTCCTATCCGGGTCACGGCACCAATGTAACCCCTCTCTCCCAGGTCCTCACCGCCACACCTCGTTCTGAGTGGCTCTCGAACCCAGGTCTCCGGCATGGGAGGCAGACGCACTAACAAGGAGGCTAAAGACAGCAGTCACTAGTGTCAGTCGCTTGTGCGTCTCTTGAGAGAGGTTTACCTGCAGAGCACCTACTCTCTGGCCTCCGTTACACTCACCCCCCTAAACCTCACTCCTATCCGGGTCACGGCACCAATGTAACCCCTCTCTCCCAGGTCCTCACCGCCACACCTCGTTCTGAGTGGCTCTCGAACCCAGGTCTCCGGCATGGGAAGTGGACGCACTAGCATTGTGAGCGGAGTGAGATACTCAGTCTACATTTCAATTTGCACACAATATACCTGTACATACATCTGTCTATTGTTATATACCTGTAGGCCTGCATACAACTGTCGATTTGTATAATTTTATTCCTTATTTACTTGTTCTATTTTTTATTTATTTTGTAGGCCTGCATACAACTGTCGATTTGTATAATTTTATTCCTTATTTACTTGTTCTATTTTTTATTTATTTTTATTTTTTATTATCTGTGTTTTTTTTGTTCTGTCACTGTCATTCTGTTACACTGTGGAAGCTTCTGTCATGAAAACAAATTCCTCGTATGTGTAAACATACCTGGCAATAAAGCTCATTCTGATTCTGATTCTGATTCTGATAATGCTCAGAATGCTTGTGGATTAAACATCTCTGATGACGTTCATCGCCATGGATTGATTTTATCGGGTTACAAGGAAAGGCCGGATATGGATTTAATTGCGAACTGTTAGTAGGCTACTGATTTTATGATTTATCATGCTAGCTACGGCATTCGAGTCCACACGCGTCCAGCTAGAAGTGACATCAACTAGAAGTGACAGCCTGGTGAATAATCTGCATTACAAAAAGAAAAAAAAATATTTAAAGGTTATTCACGATTACATATTGCTGCCAAGGTATCTAGTCTTTACAGTGCTTTGTTATATGGAGCTGTTTGGTAGATCGTGATCTATCTAATTCGTTTGTCTACACCGTAATTAAAATGCGTCAGACTTTAATGGACAGTAAAACAAAGGCAGAACACCGTATAACTCCAAGCCGGCACCGTAACTTCATATTGACGAACGGCTAAACAAAGTCAGAACGCCGTAACTCAGTTTGAGCGTTCCAAACAAAGTGAAAGAGCCGTAACTGGTGTTATACGGTGCTCTGCCTTGGTTTCTCCTGGGCTTTTCAAAGTTACGGTTGAGACGACTCATTATTTTCTCAGAAAAACAACAAAATTGACTCAAGATACTTATACACATGATAAATGATGTCTTGAATGTCCCAAAAATATCAATAACTCATTTTCGAAAAAAATCGAAAATGTCTTTTGTCTTTGCACGGCAGAACATTTCAAAGACAGAGTGTTGCTGGGTGTGTGGGGTCCAAAGTGATTTTGATGATGGTGCCCAGGAACCTGAATGATTCTACTGCAGCCACAGTGCTGTCCATGATGGTGAGTGGGGGGAGTGCAGGGGGGTTGAAGTCCATGATCATCTCCACTGTTTTGAGTGTGTTCAGCTCTAGGATGTTGTGACTGCACCAGACAGCCAGCTCTTTAACCTCCTGTCTGTAAGCAAACTCGTCTCTGTTGTGTATGAGGCCGATGATGGTAGTGTCATCTGCAAATTTCAGGAGCTTGACAGAAGGATCTTTTGCAGTGCATTCATTCATATACCGGGTGAAAAGCAGTGGGGAGAGCACATGTCCCTGAGGGGTGCCCGTGCTGATCGTGAGAGTCCTGGATGTGAGTTTACTCAGCCTCACTAGCTGTTGCCTGTCTGTCAGGAAGCTGGTGATCCACAGACAGATTGGGGAGGGCACGGTCAGCTGGGTCAGTTTGTCTGAGAGAAGGTCAAGCATGATGGTATTAAAGGCCGAACTGAAGTGTACAAACAAGATCCTTTCGTAAGTCCCAGGTCTATCAAGATGTTACAGAATATAATGCAGTCCCATGTTGACTGCATCATCCACAGAACTGTTTGCTCTGTAGGCAAACTGAAGAGGATCCAGCAAGGGTCCAGTGATGTCCTTCAGGTAGGCCAACACCAGTCTCTCAAATGACTTCATGACCACAGACATGAGAGCAACAGGTCTTTAGTCGTTAAGTCCAGTGATATTTGTTTTTTGGGGGGGACCGGAATGATAGTTGTGCGTTTGAAGCAACAGGGAACATCACACACAGCTCCAGTGATCTGTTGAAGATCTGTGTGAAGATGGGGGCCTGTTGGTCAGCGCAGACTTTTAAACAGGCAGATCAAACAAAATATGGCATACCATGTTACATTTTGAGAAGGATTTGTTTATAATAGTTTGTGTTTTGGATAGTTCACTACCCTGACAGCACATATCCTGATACATCACATCTAATGTCTGCTGTAACGACTGGACTGAGCAACACAATTATTTGTTATATTTAACAAATAATCTTTAAAACCCACTCTGTGAGTTCCATGGACTATCACCCAAAAGTGCTACTATCACCCCAGGAGGTGCTCAGTTACCCGGGCTACCATCTGATAAAATACTTTGCTTAAAAGTATGTGGAAAGATGTGCAATGGAACAAACCCTGTGAAAGGCAGACACAGGCCAATAGAACGGACCTTTCCATCACATAAACTCATAGACAAACCTTTCTCTAAGACAACATACATATTTCAGAACATTTTGTCTACTATTCACTTGAGACATGTACAATCATGTATGTAATCATATGTTATTTTATAGTGTTTGCCTATATATTGAATGTTTTATTATTACTTAATCAAGATTGCACATATGCCGTGCTTGGTATCCCTGAGCTCCAAATTATGTTACCTATTTGTTCATTTACATTACATTTAGCTAACTCTGTGACACATTCGTATTATAAGAATCTTGAAGATTCTTCTCTTGAACACCCAATCCAGTTTCATATGCAAAACACCATTCTAGAGACAAAATATCGTAAAAAAAAATTCCATCCAAAGGTACCATTCCTCATTGGCTCACTCCAGTCCTGAGGATGACATCCTCACACTTTAAAGATCACTGATCACCAGATGAGGGCGGTTAAAAAAAAATAGTAGAAAACTCACATTTTTAAAATTACAATTTTAAAAGCTATGCAATCTTTATTTGATAACCCTTCTGTGCTAGCTTCTTTTTGCTCAGACATGGTGCATTGGCTGATTTAAGATCAGAATGTCCACCCCATCCACCGTAAAAAAGAAATCCACTCTTCTCAATTTTAGATATTTTGACTTACAGTAGGACAAGCTTTAACCCAAGCCCTTCAGTATCATTAAAGGACACCTCATTGTCTGTAGGGGCTTTCACCGTAACAAGATTGCTCATCTCAGGGGCCAGTATTACATATATGAGGTAAAGTTGCTTTGTAATATTATCTGCGTTTCACTGTGTGGATGCTGGTAAACTGGTCATTAGAAGGCCAAATAAGTGCTTCTCATGTTAACTATGTTCTCTTCGCATGGCTTAACAGGTCCCATTTCCCATTTATAATTAGACTTATAAATAGATTTGTGTGAAACAACAGGTTTAAACATTCTATCCAAAGGTTAATTTATTTGATTCAAATTTATTTTGAATTGTGACAGGAATTGTGAATTGTGTTATTGACACTTCCCTGTTTAGCTTAGATGATTAGGGACAGTTTGAAATTCCACAATGAACAGTCATTGTTCTACATAGGTGATGACAGTTTGGATGGAAAACTAATTTATTATAAACAAAATTAAGGTTTACTGCAACAACAAACATTCATCATCATCGCAGTCTTGCTCAAATTGACCCATGAGGTTCACGGAGGAGCAGGTTTCACCCAGGCAGCAGATTCACTGTCCAAACAGGCTATCATGTCACCCAGAAGACCACCACTCTCAGGCCTCTCACTACTGCTGTGAGATTCTGCAAAAAAGAAAAAACAACCACTGGTTTGGTAAATACATTTCATTTTCAGGTACATAATGACTAGTCATCCTGTAATTTTCAAGATCTTACCAATTGTATGTTCAGTCAATTTCCTAATCACAGGGTTTGGGAAATCATAGATGCTATCAGTCACTTCTGTAAATGGAGAACAATTACAGCACACTGGGCTGAATATATGAACTTTTACAGTGTACATTTATAATGCGAGTCGGCGGAGACTTAGGCCCACCATGTTCTCCCACATTGGTTGACCATTTGGAAGGGGGAGTGTCATAGATGGCTTCTTCAGCAACTGCAATTAATCATTAGAAATCATCATCAGTCAATTATTGTTTAAACAGATTAAAGCAATATACAATAATTTTACCAATTAATCAGTATTATACAGTAGGCAAGGCAAACCTAAATGCAGACATGTGACCATACTATGTTAATATACCATATTATATATTTTAAAAGTATTCCCAGAAAAAAAAATCATTATACACACGTTTTAGAGATGGTAAAACATCGTAGTCACAGTCTGTCAGTAAAAACTCCTCAGTACTTTGCTCCATTTCATTGCCTGTGTGCAAACTGTCTTGTGTCTCATCAGCAACTGTGGACAATAATTGTAAGAATATACATGGACATCCATAAATGTATTTCAAATGTTCTTTTGCCTGGGAAGTTTCCCAGACACAAGACTGACAAGGATATTTATCTGCTAAAAGGAATAACTTAAAGCGATGGTTCACCCAAAAATTAAAACTGTCCTATTTATGTTATTCCAAACCCATAAGACTTTCATTCGTCTTCAAAGCACAAATAATCTTTTAATGAAACATAGAGATTTCTGTCCCTCCATTGAAAGTCCATTACACCAAAATGTTGACACCTCAAAAAGTTCACAAAGTGATTGTTATTGAACACTTATCTGTTTGTAATTTATCAATATGACTGAACTGAATGACACCATCGGATGAGAACAAAACTTGAACTGAACTAAACAGGATGATGGCGCTATTGTTTTCCGTAGAGCTGCTTCACAGCTGAATCGCTTCCTGCAACTTCAACACTGTTACTGAACTGAACGGAATCAGTATTGAACTAACTACATTATTGCCTACTGTACTGTAGAAATGCCTATTTCTGAGCGATTAACTTCACACTGTTACTGATCTGAACGAACTTGAGATAAATAAGGACACTACTGTCTTTTAGAGCTGCTTTTAGCAGAATCTGTATTACTATTTCCTGTTTATCTATGTGAAGCTGTTTTAATGCAATCTGTATTGTATATAAAGTGCTACAAAAATAAAGGTGACTTGACCTGACTTAAGACTGACAGTTCTGTTAATGGTATTACAGAAAATAATTAAAAGTCAATGGGAGGTAGAACTGGAGAAAGTCGCATCCCAAATGTGGGACGTACCAGCGAAGGACTGGAATGACTCTTGATCAAGGCTGTCCACTGAAGTGCTGCTGGTCTCATTATTTGATTCTTCACACCGGCTAGACCGAATTTCAGGGTTGTTATCTGGCACCAGCTCCCTAATCTCAATAACACACAAAACACATTCAGAGCATTATAAATCTCATACAAAAACAACCACTGACGAGAAGTGTCATAAAGAGCAGTGGTACCCATCGGTGAGAGATCCAGATCTGTCTGGGCCATTCAGCAGCATGGCTTTCCACAGCTGCTCCATCCACTCCTGCCTGACATCAGCTGTATCTGCAGCCTGGTAGTACAAAGTTCTCAGATGTTTATGGGCAAAAGGGGCATAAAGAGAGTATTCATAATTCTTTCAGTCACAATAAGTGCAATCCACGTTCCTTTTTGAAACTATGACAGTCCTGCCTTGGTCTCAACAAAGTAACATTGTTCACAAGTGGTTATTGGGAGACCACATCCTCAAACACAGATTACAGACACTCTCTTGATCAACGTGAAAACTCGCCAGCATTTTCTTCTTCCCATTTTTCATTGTGATCTCAAACAGATAGCGATTGTTCTCCGATCTGCCGACCTCCCGCACAGACTGAACCTGTTAAGCCATGTGAAGAGAACATGTAGTTAACATGAGAAGCACTTATTTGGCCTTCTAATGACCAGTTTACCAGCATCCAGACAATGAAACAAGATAACATTACAAACCGACTTTACCTCATATATGTAATACTGGCCCCTGAGGTCTAACTGTTGGAGTTCAAGAGAAACAGTGGATTAATAATCATCGCAACAAGAGCCTTTGGCAAAATAACATTCAATTGTATTTTTAATTGAATGCAATGGTCCTCAACAGATGGGCCACCATTTTTTAAATCTTAAACACATTGCAAAAAAATTGTTATATCTTCAAGCAGTCTGACATCAAAAGTCCAAAATGCACCATAAAAATTATAATATTAAATCAAACACTTGAATACTTACAGCACTCCCGTGTTTTTTAGTGTAGAAAAAGAGAGTTGTATTGTAAAGCCTGAACCAGTAAGTCACCCACCGAAGCCTCTGAGGAAAATACATTGAACAACCACTGAGCAGAGATTTCCTTAGGTGTATATATTATGTAATAATTGTATAAATTCTGCAATAAAATGGGAGAACAAAGTATTCTGCAACAACTACTTTTAAAATTAAGTATTTTAAGTATCCAGCAGCAACTATTTTTGACTCCGTCTAAAACTGAAATGATTCCTGCAAATAACAGACATGAAACACTAGCAATATGTACATTATGTTCATACCATTTTATCTTTCCGTTTCTTCAGAAAGCCCTGGCAGAGCGGAGCCGGCACTACTCCTCCAGTCGACATGCTCATGCTCTTTGTACTCTGAAAGTGTTCACACTTCACCATAAACATAAATCAACATGACGACTTCCCCCTGAAACTGTCACATCCTCACTTCTGATCTTTGTATAATAAAGAGATGCTGTTCTTAGTCAAATGCCAAAATATGTGGGAGGTTCCTTTTAATTTGCTTTGCAGTTCTCAGTTTTATTCAATTTATGCTCAATTGATTTCCCATTATTGCAAAGACTGCAAAATATGGGCACACACACACACAAAAAAAAAAACCTTATGAAGAAAAACTCGAGTAAGCACAGTGTCTCAGAAACAAACACAACAAGACAGATTTATTCACACCATTATTTATTGTAAATGTCTGAAAACCCACAGGTGCAACAATCCCGTGATTTTGAACAGGGAAACTGCATTGAAAGTTACATATGCATAACATCTGAAACATTAGAACAAACATGACGTTGTCTCTACATGATTGTTAGCTGGGAAGAATTCATATAGTCTTTATAATGTAGCAAGCAGGTCCTTATTAGTCTGGTTTGGAATAAACCGATTTGCGCCATCTCATTACTGAACAATGTTTTTTCCTGTGCATAACGGGTAGAAAAGAAAAGAAAAACAAACATAACTTACTAAAATAAAAACCAAATATTGCATAAAAGAATCCATAGTAACATGCCTGTTTCAAGCAATGCCAAAAAGACAGAGATAAGGCTAATAAATTAACATAACTGAGATGTGCCAAGAGTAAAATGACCTTTACTTGTGAGAAATGGCTTTGTTTCGGTGCTTCTCTAACAAGCACAAGAGTGTCTCTATGTGATACAGTTCAAATATAGTTTGTTCACTACCTAGAGACAATCTTAAAGAGTGTCCAGTAATATATACATACAGATATAAACATAGTGTTCAGTCACCCATCAGTAAACCCTCAAGTTCTCCTGTCTCTTTTCAATATAGGTCACACCAATTAATACTGACCTGAGGAAAACATCAGTGTGCATAAATTAAAAACCTCATGTCGGAACAGCAGAGGACACGATTACTGTAGATGTTCTGTTCCACCACACGGCTGATGAGGCGAGTTCCTATAACACTTGGTTCGGGAAAGGCAGTTTTAAATATACAAAATGTAACTATTACTAGGAATCTTCTCTCCTAAATGAAATAAGGATGGAATGAGGGATCATGGGTTTTGTAGTTTCTCATAGGGCCAGGGTCGCTGTAACATGCCGGATGCACTGATCACCGCTGCTTCAGGAGAGCTTTGTACATGGCGAAGCCAAGAACAGCAAACACGGTGGCACCGACGCTCGCCCTCAGCCAAAACGTAGAGTTTTTCAGGTCAGCTTGGGTCACATGTCTGTAAAAGAGCAAAAGTGAGAGGAAAAAGGGGACGTTTGTTAATAAAACAAATGAGGGTGCTCATAAGGTTTGTGAGATGACAAACGACAAAATGTCTAAATACATCGTGCTATAAAAAAAAAAGGATTTTCAATTAACATCCCTAAATCACCAAATAAATACCATTATTTGGAAGCACTATCGCTCCCCAATTCTCATTTTCATAATGCAAAAACAAATTACAGTAGAGTAAAAAACGCATTAATAATGATGCAATAATCAATAATGATACATTACAAATATGCAACTATCAATAATGATGCATTGCTAAAACTAAAGTATGTTTCACTGCTTAAAAAAAAAAAAAAAAAAAGAAAGTAATATTGAAAAAAAAAAAATTCACAGGCAAAATGCAAAATAACTAAACAAAAATCCTTCAAAAGGTAAGTAAATAGGCTACAAGTACATAATTATTATTTTATATGTGTATTATTTATTTTTTGGAGGGGGATTTGAGGTGAAATGTGACCTGGATAGGTTTTATGAAATTTACCCTGACAGACAATTATTTGAGCATATAATAGTTTACTTAGTAAAAATGTATTTTGTTTTGCCTATTGGACATCCCATGATATACACAGAGAGAGAATCTGCTGAAATGGGGAAAGAGGCAGCATGGGAAAGCATGAGAGAGCCAGCTAATGTTTTCAGGGGCTGAACATATTTAAAAGCACACCGTTCAGATGATAAAGAGGATGTCTCTAGTGAAACTAAACCCACCCAACACAAATCCAGAGAGTTTAATTGGCTTCAAAAAGCTCAACACCGCACATCCAAACTCGAGGCTGAGACACAAAACTTCAAAGGTTTATGAAAGCAAAGTTTTTGTGCGGGTGTGAAACCTATGAAAATACACAGCTGAAAAAAAGCCCAAAGCAACAAAGGTGGCATTCACAAAGCAAGAAATAAGTTCATATTGAGCAATTGCCACAGATCAGATTAGGTAACAGACGTTTGCAGACACCTTAAGGATGTGGTGAGAAAAATAAACGTAAAGAAGAATTTATTTAATTAAACCAGTCAAGGAGAATCCTTCTTTGAACTTAAAATCCCCATTTAAATTGTGGCACCTTGTACTCCAGTAAGCTGGGCCTTTACCTGTTACACACGGGCACAAACAGGTCGACAGACTCCATGTAGACCGAGTCCTTTACAAAGCTGACTGCATGAACCTGATGGGTGAGGCTGGACTCCTCATCAGCCAATAGAAACGTGCCCACATCTTGTATAAAAGGTCTCAACCTTATGCACACATGTGCACAAAGCATGGCAGTTCAACAACCGCACACCCGACAGGACCACCCCAATGTACCCCACTGCTCACCACATGCTGTAAACATACACACTCGTACACACCAGCTTATTAAAGCAGCTCTATGTAACTTTTGGTGCTCTAGCGTTTAATAAACAGAACTGCACACATCCCGCAGAAGAACATTCCAACCGGAGCTACTTCTCCAAGTTTATGTCTATGGCGATTCACGCAGGTATGTGTTACTCCGCAGCGGTGACGACCCGACCAGGCTACAATAGTCCAAATATAAAGTACTTATTAAAAGTGTACCATAGTGATTTGGAATAAGACAAAAACACGATTTGGAAGATGAATTCATGATGTACTCGCTCATTATATACATTTTGCTAATTTTGAAAACAGAAAAAGTTACATAGTACTGCTTTAATGAGAAATAGCAGCTTTGTCACTGGGGAAAAAAGTGAATTCTGATTGCTTCATCTTCATATAAAAAAAACTGGTTATTTAGTGGTTTTAAAGTATATCAAACAAATTTGTTATACTTTATTTTTTTAATAAATACTTAATATTTCGGGAGAACTTGCACAATTGGTGGCTGACTAAATACTTTTTTTCCCCACTGTATATATACACACACAGTATATGATTTTTAAAATGTCATATATTTTACATTTTGCTATAATTAACAACCTGAATATTAAGATGATACACTTCTTAAACAGTAGACCGACTATAAAATGGTTGGCTAAATTACATAGACAAGAACAAAACATGAAATACTATCCATCAAAGCACCAAACAATAATGGGAAGAGAAGCTTTTGTTTTAGATGAAACACTATACTAGCAGCAACAGGTTAGACATGTTAGTCATTCAAACACAGACACAATCCAAAATAAACTAGGCCGTTTAGATGTCACATCACTGCATATGACCAGTTATTCCCGAGGAAGCTCTCTAAACTATTGCTGAGAAACAGGAGATGGTTAGAGAGGGAGGAACAGACGGGGAGACTGCTAACATGATGTAAAGAGATGCAAAGCAAAGACGAAAAGGGCGAGCCAAACAATTGAAAAGGAACACCTACGGAGGGACAGAACAAAACAAATTCACAAGATTAAATTCAATAGATAGATTTAAATTAAAAAAATTATACATAAATATATATATTAATTTAACAAAAAATTACGTGCACCATGAGAATGAGATGAAAAACTAAGGGGTGTAAGAAAGGCTTTAAAGAAAATGTGATATAAAATAAAAGTCTGAATTAACATTATTGGTCACTTATTCTTTTCTATGGGAATAAGAAAAAGGAAATCATTCAACTAACACCTGTGCATTCTTCTGGTGTTACATTTTATAAGCAGTAAAAAAGATTAGAAGATCTACCAAATCTAAGAGATCAACTGCTCAGTATTAAAAAAAGACTCGGGAAGAAACACAACCAAAAAGGAAGTGTTCATATGAACCATGCGACCACATTTGTGACTGGAGCAAGGATGAGTGCATTAGTGCAGATTTACTGCTTGCATATTCACTTCAACTCACTACAAAAAAAGGTTAACATCATCACAACATGAGGACAAACGCAAATCTGTCTTATTCCGTCTAAAATCAAAAGGATACCTTAATAAACATATTATGCTTTTAATGTTTATGGCATGTTTGAGAACAAACATATCCATTTGAAGGTATTAAATAAACAATTCTTCTAAGAAATGCTGCATGAGTCTGAATGAGAGTATGCTTAAACACAAAAGGACAACAATATATTGAACTAGAGATGGAAATCAAAAGGAATTTAATGATTTTGATACCGATTCCACTATATGATTCTACTTTTGAGGAAGCATCATCCAGCCTCACAAAAAGAACTGTTTTCTATTGTAATAGATCCATTTTATTTTGAATTTATTCCTAAATCTGAATTTTCAGCATCCATTAGTCTTCAGAGTCACATGATCCTTATCTTTAAATATAGGTCGTCATATGAATAATGACTAATTACACTGACAAGGTCTAACAAGCCTTGAGTAAACAATAACGAACAGAATGTTTGGATTAAAAAATATATATAGTTTAGTGAAGAACCACTCTAACTGACTCAGTGAATGAGTTTAGCCAATTCAAGCCAGTCTTCTTGACTGAATTATTCAAAAGAATCACTCATAAGAGTCTTTTTTTGTTTGTTTAGTGTCTTTCAGCATTAGCAGAGGAATTCAGGCATTCAACAACAGTTAACAGAACCAAATGTAACTAAAATCATTGGTTTCTAGTATTTTTCAAAAATGATCCCCATCTCTAGTTTTAAGCAATCTCAAGCACATAAGCAAGATTTAGTCGGCACTTTGCAGACTGGGTTAAGAAACAACTGCTAAGATGCATGGGAGGCTGAAGCAGAATTTAACTAAAGTGCGCTAACATGCCTCATATGCATTACTGAGACTTAAAAAGCAAATGGACTCAAATACAATGCAAATCATCAAAAGCTGCTAGAATACCATATGTTTGGGCTTTGTGTGGATGAAATGAGTCAATGTGAGCATCTGGTCAGTCTACTTAGAGACATCTATGAAAATTTTGATTTATGATCAATTTGAACTTTTAAAATATCATAGCAGTCAGCGTTTTAAAATATAGCCAGAACATTTCCCAACATCTCTCTGTGGATATGCAATGTAAACCTGTCAGGCCAACAGCAAGTAGGAGAGAAGGTGTGTTAAGAAGCCAAGGTTAGAGAGATCACCCTGCAGAGAGGGTGCATGGGGGGATATATAGGGCTATACTCAGAGACCTGTTCAGAACAGCACTGTAGAGTTTGGCCTTTACCGAGCGCACCAGCTCAGAGTTCAGGAGGTTGTGACAGATGCAATAGGTGCACCTGTTGCAGCTGCACATGCAGCGTAACTTGGCGTGGCTGCAGAAACACACACAGACAGGAAGAGTCAGTATATCATATGACAGTTCCAGGAGAGCTGGATCCCAAAGTTGTTTCTCTGCTTGGGCTTGGAGATGGAGGAGTGCAGGGAGGAAAGCACAGCAAATGTAATATATGAAAAAAAACTATTCTGTTGCTGTTGAGGAGAGAATCGTGGGAAAAACCGTCTATCTACAGACACGTTATGCAAAAGGAAAGAACGGGAAAATAAAGTACGCTGGTAAGCCATGAAACATCACAAGTGAAACACGTAAAAGAAACTATTCCTACAACCTAGCAAAAACTCAAGCAAAAAGCTTGAATAGGGCTGCACGATTAATCCAAGTAAAACCTAAATCGTGATATGATTTTATGCAATTATCAAATCACGAATTTAATTAGTTGTGCTGAGTGTTTCAATGTGAAACATGCCACTATGCTCTTTTACTCGCAAGCAGCTTGTGATCTGTTGTTTTCAATGTCTCGTAGCAGCTCAGGTCACAGTAAATGCTGCTTATCACAATCTCTGCATGTTCTGAGTTTTTGGTTGCTTACAATGTGCATTTGAGAATCAATGATCTTCCCAAACTGGTCATGAGAAGCGCTTATAAATCAGCTGATGTCAACAAATAAGTAGTTTAAGGAACAGTTCGCCCAAAATGAAAATGGCCAAACAGTTGCTGGTCCCCACTGACTTCCATAGTAAGGGTGTACTCGCACTGGGCACAGTTGCCTTGAACCGAGCCAGAGCGCGATTATCCCCCCTCCCCACTCCCCCGCTGGCCTGCACTCACACTTGCACTAAACTTTCCGGGCCGGAGCACGCTTGCATCATGTATGAGATAACGGAGAAAACCACTTTCACTAATATTCTGCTGAATAATTAATAATAATTCATTTATAATTTATGTTGTGCATTGATTTTCACTTGTATGTATCAGAGAATTATTACGGAGGCAGCTGACGTTAATTAAATAATTTGCAGCTTTACTCGCAAACTACATTTCCTGTTCATCAATAAGGTGAGAATCAGAGCCATTATAAACCTAAATATACTCGATTGAATTCAATTAACTGAAAAGTGTAGTGTAGTAGTAGTAATAGAATATGTTTGCGGTCGTAATGATGACATTAGCGCACACAAAACAGTATATGTTCCGTGCTCTGGCACGGTTAGCGCTCACACTGCATGAGTACCGTGCCCGAGCGCGGCACAGAACGCTCACACTAGTCAAACGAACCGGGCTTTGGGGTTCAAAACACCTAGTGTGAGTACACCCTAAGAAAAAAAAAAACACTATGGAAGTCAAGGGGACCAGTGACTGTTTGGTAACCCACATTCTTCAAAATATGTTAATTTGTGTTCACAGGTTTGGATCAACCTAAGGGTGAGTAATGGCGCTTTTCCACTGCGTGGTACGACTCGGCTCGGTACGGCACGGCTCGGTTCGTGTTTCCACTGCAGTTCAGTACCGCTTTAGAATGGGCGGGATTATTCACATGTCGTTATAGTTGCGCCGCCTCTACTGCCGCGACTCCTAAAAAACTTTTTCATTCCGCGTCGCCCCATCAAGCTCTCGCTGGATCCGCTCCTCTGCTATCAACGAGAGGAACGTCTTTACTTCCTCAACCGGGGGAACAGCCACTTTTTGGTTGTTAAAAAAAGGTGTGCTCGTTCAAAACAGTTGCGTTCGATCCTTCACTGGCTGTGCTGATTTAAATCTAGCGGTTCTTTTGTGTTTGTGTCGCAAGTTCAGTGACACAGGTAGTGACGATTCTCTCTGGCCAATCTGTGATCAGCAGAGTTTACACGTCACGTTTTGGTAACGGTACGGTACGCTTGGAACCCCAACCGAGGTGGTACTAAAAAAAGTACCAGGTACCAGGTACTATACCCAGTGGAAAACCCCCCAAAAGTGAACCGTACCGAGCCGTACTGTGCTGTACCATGCAGTGGAAAATCGCCATAAATGAAGGTGAACTATCCCTTTAAGGGCTCCCTGCAGTTTTCCACCAAAATAAAAGCTCATTGGTTTAACATTTAAAAACAAGAGATTAAAACAGCCATAAATATCGATATGGTAATTTTACAGATGTACTTTTACAGATGTCCTGTAAAATTATTATTATTGTTATTATTGTTGTATTGAAATGTCAATTAAAGCTTTGGGCCAAACTGTGCAGCCCTACACAAAAAATAAAAATAAATAAATAAAAAAAAAAACATGCCTAACTTGGAACGTTTTATTGAAGAAAAGAAAAGAAAATTCAAATTAAAGTTGCTTCCTAAGAATACACTAACAATACAATGGTCCAGACCATTAAGCAGGCGTTTTCACACATACACCCTTTTCCGTAAAAATAATGCAATTTTTTTATGCAAACCAGAAATTGTTATGCACTATATTAAAAGACCACAGAACAAATGATACTTGAATGTCTCTGAAACCGAACCAATGAAAGATCAGCTTTTCAAGATACTGCATTAAAAACATACTGTAGCTAGCAGCTACTATGATTCCTAACAGCTTTAAAAGCACAAAAGGAGACAATAAGACAAAAAATTGACAATAACAATAGGCAAACAAAAGAGGGAGAGTCAGAGGAGCCAATCATGATCTAACAGGAGAAGCAGACAGTGGGGCAGATGGGTCAGGTTGAAGAAGGTGCTGTATACTCACGGATACATGGCCATAGTGGTGAGTTTGGTATAGATGTCTTTGCTGGGTGCTTCGTCTGTGTTGCAGGTGAACAGCTGTGGCGGGTGAAGCTTGTGTTTCCGACAGAAATCCAGCGGGGACAGACTGTAGTACTGACGGGCTTCATGCAGGTCTGACTTGGCAGCAATAATCACACAGGGTGTCTTGCTGTCCAAGAAGTGTTTCTGTAAAAAAACATGATAATGTAAAACCCACAACCAGTGTAACAGCACATAAGTGGAGTTATTTTTTGTGTTTTTACTGAGCTTAAAAAGAACCCAAACAAAACCACAATTTTTTTCTGTTCATTAGTGACTTTTGACCCATTGAGCTTGAACTGATTCACAATAAATTGACAAACAAGCAAACGAAAATGTTCTTTTTCAAATAAATGCTGTTCTTTTGAATGTTCTATTCAAATAATTTTTTTTATTTAATCACAGAAATATGAGGCAGCACAATTTATTTCAACATTCATAAGAATGTTTTATGTTTAATGTTTCTTGAGCCGGAAATAAGTATATTAGGATGATTTCTGAAGGATCATGTGACACTGAAGACTGGAGTAATGATGCTGAAATTTCAACTTTGTATCACAGCAATTAATAACGTTTTAAAATGCATTAAAATAGAAAACAGTTGTTTTCAATTGTAATAACATTTCACAGCATTACTGTTTTTCTGTATTTTTGATCAAAGAAATGCAGCTTTGGTGAGCATAAGAGACTTCTTTCAAAAACATTCAAAAATCTTTCCTACCCCGAACATTTGAATATAGCTAAGACAATTAGCTTAATAAAGCAGAATTATAATAATTACTTTTTCTTATCAATGTGACATTTAATAAAGAACAAATAATTGCATAACCAGGACAAGTAGACGAGGAAATATGCTACATGCTAAACTAGAGCCCCAAGCTAGTATCAAACTGACTTAAGTCTTGCCAATAAATATACTAATATATATATATATAAAAAATAATATATAAATATGCTGACCTTGTACACTTTAGCACAATATTCAAAAGAACCCGGGTTACTGATGTCATACACCAAGCAAACAACATCACAAGCCAGATCAGCCTCAGAAAGGAACTCAAAGTCCGGCAGCACCTTGTGCAGCTGAGAAAGAGAGAAAAACAATCAGCACTGGCCAGACATGAAGTGGACAAAGCAACAGAACTTTGACTTACAAGCAGATATTTCTCTTGTCCATAAACATAAGTGGTGCTGATGGCATAGTAAGACTTGCGGTCTTCTCTTATCCTCTTCTGACGCTGCAATATGAAAAAGGAGAGAGTCCAATTCAGTCAAAGTCAAAACACTAGATGCTCCTGTAAGGCATTTGAACTCACCGCAAGGTTCCTGCCAAGGAAAGCCTGCAGAAAGCCACTTTTACCGCTGCCTCGCACCCCTAGGACATTACAGCGGAAAACACTGCGCTGGGTCTGTTTCTTCTGCAGGTCGATGCGCTTATTCCTTGTGACTGCACAAGAAAGGACACATTAATGATTTCTAAATCAGCCTCAAGTATGAATGAATGAATCAAGATGTATACTAAAACACTCTTACTTGTGATAGCGGCTGCCTGTGACTCCTGTTCTTGTATAATAGAGTAACCAAGATAACCCAGGTACTCTAAACATCGCTGCACATCTAGGTATGTTGTTAGCCTGAGATGGAAATAAGTCAAGTTTAAGTCATTCAGTCGAACGAACACAAATATCAAAAAGTTCATGGTTTCCATCTATTTCCACTTTCAAGTACTGTAGGATGAAGGCGGCACTCACGTCCACTGAGAAAGGTAGCCTTGGTAAGTGATCCAGCCCTGCTCATTGGTGCAGACTGTGTTGTTGACATCAGGACCCCAGGGCATGTAGGGAAAGACCTTGAACAAATCCTTCAGCTCATCTGGAGAAAGGGCACAGTCTCGATCCTAATACACAAACAATTTGGGGCGAGAGAAAAAAAGTATAGATTCATTCAATAGTGCATTCTTGGCAGTCAGTTCTTGTGTTCATGAACAATTTTTGTAGTTCTTCCTACATGGTTAGCTTTCATTTTTGCATCGTGTCTTGCTATTTTTTCTTAAGCCACCTTTTAAAAATGCCTGTGAATGGCCCCTGACATGTCCTTCTACAAGGAGGTGTCGTAAAACACATCCTTGCATTATGAAAGTAAACAAAAAGCCAGTTGGTTATTAATACAGCAGGTTCAATCATCTTAATTCATGCTCTGACTGAAGTCTGGGAAACTCAATGGTACTTGGCTGAGCTCACATTGTCATTCTTATCAAAGACACTCTGGAGGAAGAGGTAGGCGTTGTGGTTCAGCTCTGTGGTGCAGTCTGGAGGTATTTTTAAGCTAGAAAAACAAACAGAGGTTAGAAATTCTTCTGAAGTAATTAGAAAACCACAATTTGAATTTGTGTGTTTCTTTGCAAAACAGGACAACGCAACAGATCTACAAAACATGTGATCCAACCAGAGATGAGCTACTTGATGTGACATGATCAATGTAAATTTGAAGTACTGGCTCTGGGGTGGGACTCACAGTGGAAACAGGTATTCTTGGGTCAGCTCCAGGTCATCATCATAACCAAACCTCCTGAGCACAGTCCATGTGGTCTCATGCCTTCCTCTCTGAATAAAAAGTGTATGGAGGAACAGGAAACCTAGAAAACAGAGAACACATCTCAGACACAACAGAACCTGATAAATGAAGGAATATGAGAAATTCACATTTGTGTGGAGAGGCTCTGCAAGGAGGAATGGCAGAGGATTCCCAAATCCAGGTGTGAAAAACTTGTTGCCTCTTTCCCAAAAAGACTCATGGCTGTATTCGATCAAAAGGGTGCTTCTACTAAATACTGAGCAAAGGGTCTGAATACTTAGGACCATGTGATATTTCAGTTTTTCTTTTTTAATAAATCTGCAAAAATGTCAACAATTCTGTGTTTTTCTGTCAATATGGTGTGCTGTGTGTACATTAATGAGGAAAAAAAATGAACTTAAATGATTTTAGCAAATGGCTGCAATATAACAAAGAGTGAAAAATTTAAGGGGGTCTGAATACTTTCCGTACCCACTGTATATATATATATTTTTTTTTAAACAATCTGATGGCAATGGGAAGCCAAATATCACTGTATAACTGTGATATAAAAAGCCACTGACGTTTGTCTTTTTACTCAACTCACCCTTCAGTGTGAGGCCATTGTCTTTTACCCCATCCGACATATTTTTCCGCACAACATTCTTCACGTCCTCCAGGGCTTGAGGTGCCAGGGGTATGTTAAAACAAGTTCTCTGCAAGGCAAAATCAACAATCATCAACAAAGTTGCTTGAGGAAATATGACACTCTCATTAAGGTGCAGTTTGTGTAAACAACCTCTCCTGTCATTTATTTAAGGAAGTATTAAAATGCCACAGCAATAGAGCACAAAGTTCTGAAGAAAACTGCTCTCACCTGGAAGAAATTAAGCTCATTATCGTTTAGAATGCCATCATTGTCCAGGTCTGATATTTTGAAAATGCGAGTAAGTGCTTTGATGCAAGAAGGCTTCATCTGGAGAATAAACAGAAACTCATTACTACAAAATACATCACTGATCATTTGAATATTTTGATGATGTTCTTTGTCATTTAAAGTGGTCGGATTAACAGGCCCAGGAGTCCAACTAAAGTAATATTTTACCTCTTTCTCTTCTGGAGAGTACAGTGGTCCTGTCGGATGTAGAACAGCCTTCTGGGCATAGTAGAACAACTCAGAGATATTTTTCAGGTTTTTGGCTGAACACTAAGAATGAATAAAGTAATTTCATCAGAAAAGAACATTATGATTTACTGTATGTCTTCCATATATTAAAAAAAAATAAATCCAACAAAAGTACAGCATTCTTATTTCTATTACTTTTCATCTGCTTTTATTATAATCAACACTTTTGATTTAAAAAGGCTTAATTTTAATGAATATGATATTTAGAAAAATGTTGGTACTTTGTTGTTTTGGTGTCAGACAGGGGTCTTTAAAAGACATTTTAAGCCTGATCTACAAGAACATGCCTATAAAATATCACAGTAAAATATTTACATACTTTATTATGTTTACATTGTAAAGCCATTCAAATAATTGCTTTATAAATTATGTACAAAGGCAAATACTTGCATGAGAGCTCGGTCTTTCCTTTTAGACTGAAACCAATGTCTCTAGTTAAGCAGGAATGAGCAACAGACACATGACCCAAAGGGTGATGTCCCTCTCCTCCGTGACACTACTGCCCCTCTGCACACACTCAGTCTCACAGCCTCTGAGAGGCATGCACAGCACGCCGTCACCTACATTTAGATCAGTGCTGACTGAGTGTATCTCTCACCTCCACACAAGTCTCAATCTCAGAGTATTGGTTCATGATGGGCAGGATGGTCTCCATGCTGCTGTGCTCCACCAGGTCAGATTTATTCCCCACCAGGATCAATGGTACTCTGTGACAAGACAATAGCACTAAAACATTTAATAGCTTCAGACACAATGAAAAAAAAGAAAAGAAAGACAAAAAAAGAAAGAAAAAAACCCACGGTAAAACACTAGAGAAATGTCATTAGTGTTCCTCAGGAAACGGACATATGAGAACATACAAGTATTACATTACAAGTACATAGATTATGGATTCTTTTTATATAATTATCAAAATAATTTTATAATCTATATTTTTTAAAGCAGAAGGGCTATCTTCATGGCAAGAACAAAGTAAATAAAACTCAAAAATAAATAAAAAACTAAAGTTTATACTATGCAGTGAGTACATGGAAACATTGTTACTGTTTTTTGATATTTGCTGAACTGACACTAACAACCTGTCAAACAGTTATATACATTTATTTATTTAGCAGACGTTTAATCAATATTTGCATAGTTATATTGTCAGAGCTCGACAATAAGAATGGCCCAAATGGCCAAGGGCCAGTGTGAAAGACACTCACGATATAACTGATGATTCTGTTGCATTTAATTGTGCTATTGCTGGTAATTTATTCTTTCATTATTATTTTACCATTTCATTACTGACTGTTTACTTGTCTTAAATAATGTTTGTATTATATATATATATA